AAAAAAAAAAAGGAGGGGGGAGGAAAATCATATTGTATTAATACTATACCTAAGATGTGAAGAGGAAACTGGGTAAAGGATACATGGTGTCGCTGGATAGTCTTTGAAATTTCCTGTCAACCTATAATTATTTCCAAAAAAAAGAATAGCACCCTCTATTGGCCTTTCTCAGGGTACTGTCCTTGGTTCTCTTCTCCCATTTCACGAACACAGTGATGATGTCCATACCTATTATCTCCAACCCAACTCTGAACTTCAGACAATCAAATGACTACAGGATAACATCATCCAGAAGGCATCTCAAACTCTAATACTGAACCATCTCATTGTCGTCCTAAAAGAACAGTTCTTCCCACATTTCCTAACTCAAGTGAAATGAACCACTATCTACCTAGTGATAAATTATATCCCAATCACCTTCTGGTTCCTCTTCTTTCTCACCCCACATCCAAACAATCCTTAATTCTATCTCTTCAATATTTTTCAAACCTTTCCCCATCTTTCCATGGCTTTAATTAAGGTCCTCATCATCTTTTTCACGGTTAATAGAAAGGGTCTCCTAACTATTCTCCTTGAGCTTAGTTTTACCCCATTCCAAACTAGTGTCCCCAGTGGTGCCCTATTTACTTTTCTAAAATGAAAATGATCATAGCTCTTTCTCTGAACTGCAAGAGATGTTCTTTTAGCCTTCCTGACAAGCTCTATAACTCTAGCTACACCAAACAACTCATAGTATTAGAAATCACTATGTTAACATTGGGGAAAAGCTGACAGATTCAGATTCGACATATGCATTTACTACTATTCTCTCCCAAAACCAATTAAAAGGGTATAGAAGGATTTCTTTTCAATACCTAAAATCGTAAGTACAAACATAGCATAAGAAGAATAAAAGCAATTCAGTTTGGAAGGTAGAAAGAAAGATAAGCGCTAAACAACTTAGCAGACTAAGAAATCAAGGCTCGAATCCAACAGGATGGTTAGGAGTAGGTAAGAAGCAACCTGACTTACATTACAGAACCTCCAAAAGACTCAGAAACTGGTAGCACCAGGTATTTTGAGAAGTGTGTGTTTGCAAGGTGGTAGAGGTGAAGTGTTAATAATAAGACAACTTTTAGAAAGTGTTTAAAAAGCAGCTGGAAGTCAAGATCTCATCCACATACATAAGCAGACAAACAACTGGCCCTCCTCTGAACCAGCATAAAACTGGCTGTTTATTTTCTGGTAAGGTAAAACAGACAGTCTCAAGAGGGATACCAGGTAATCAAGAACAGGGAAACAATATAAAACAGGAAGATTATATTAGTATGTAACAGGGAAAAGACTGAAGGATCTTTCAATGAGGAAAGACCTCAAAATACTGACATGGAAAATTCTCCTACAAAACCTAGCCAGATCATCAATAAAGGAAAAAACTCACATTTAGCAAGCTTCCCACACACACTCGATCCTTCCACTCAGCTTTTTAGTGCCTACTCCTAAATTTATACACAAAAAATGTTGATCTTGAAGTTGGGTGATTCATTATATTGTATTTCTTTTTTCTGTGTATGCTTCAAGTTTTTCATAATAGAAAGTAAATAAACAAAATCAGGCAAGCCAGGATCAACAGATATGATTAAAACATCTAATATGAAAAACAGAGAATAAAACATAAATAGAAATTCGCACCTTGAAGGAAACAGAGACCAGTTAGAGATAAAAGCTTGGAAAAAATACATCATTAATATCCTCAGTAGAATAAAAGAAAACACTGTATTCATGAAATAAAAACAAAATGTACAAAAGGATTATTCAACAAAGCAAAAGAGAACTCATAGACATTAAAACATGACAGCAGGGGAAAAAAAAACTCAATTAAAAGGTTGAAAGATAAAGTTAAGGAAATCTCCTAGAAAGTAGAATAAAGGACAAAGAGAAAAAAAGGCAGAAAAGCAGGAAGAAAAGTAAATGACTGGTTCAGAGCATCTATCATCTAAGTAACAAAAAGTTCAGAAAGAGAAAAGAAAAACACAAACAAGTGGAAATAATCAATAAAATACAATAAAATTATCAAGAACCCAGGAATGTAAGTTTCCAGTTTGAACTGTCCACCAAGTGTCCAGAACAATGTATTAAATCACACCTACACCATCATGAAATTAAAAATAGGAACACAGAGATGATAATACAAATTGTCAGAGAAGAGAAGGAGGGGTGACATATTCAAGAATCAAGAATTAGAATGGTTTCAGAGTTCCTAGAGCAACACTGGAAGCTGTAAAGACAAAGGAAAAATGTCTCTAAAATTCTGAGGAGAAAATTTAGAATTTTATACCAGCCAATCAATGTGAAAGTAGAATAAACACATTTTCACACATGCAAAATCTCAAAAAAATTTACCTCCAATGTATCTTTTGCAGAATGCCACTGCCATTCACGGGCTCCATCAGAAACAAAAAGAGGGAGTAAAACAAGAAAGACATGACACGAGGCACAGAAAACAGGCATCCCACAGAAGGGAGAGGCAAGAATCCTTTTTTATAATTGGGGATCCAGTTACAACAGCTATGCACAAGTATAAAGTAAAACCATTACAAACTAAAGTGTATGACAATTTTTCATATTTCTTCACAATGATGAAAGTCACAAAACACTTAGTTTGTTTGACCTTACTGAGGGAATCAGATGAAGAGTATACATTCTTTCAATTACATAAAAAATTACGTGTACTGGGCAGAAATCTAAGATGGCTACCTAAGATCCTTGGTCCCCATTGTAGACACACCGTTCTTTAGTTATTTGATCAAACACTAACCTAGATATTATTGTGAAGAAATTTTACATATATAATTAAGGTCCCAAATCAATTGGCCTTAAGACAGGGAGACTATCCAGGTGGGCCTGACCTATTCACATGTGCCCTTTAAAAAAGTTTTCCCTGGCTAATTGCATAGGGGATTTCACATTTGAGAATTTCCCCACTGCTAACATTAAAGATGTGTCAAGGAATGTGGCTGGACTCTGGAGAATAAGGGAAGTCCCCAGCTGACAGCCTACAAGTAAACTGGGACTTCAGTCCTACAGATCAAGGAGCTGAATTCTGCCAACAAGCTGAATAAGTGTAGAAAGAGATTCTTCCCCAAAGCCTCCAGGGGAAAACTTAGCCTAGCAGACACCTCAATTTCAGCCTATTAGATCCTAATCGGCGAATTCAGACATAGTGTGCCCAGACTTCTGCCTTACAGAAGAAGTATGAGTTAATAAATGGATATGGTTTCAAGCCATCAAGTTTATGGTATTTTGTTGCACAACAATGGAAAACTTATATACTACCAAACAAAATTATTAATACAAGGGTAGAGTATGGAAAGACGTGTACAAGAAAGAATATTGATCATGACATAATGATATATGCCTTCAATAGCCTTTATACAGTCACACAAATAAAGACCTCAAATAGTACCTACCTTAAATTACAATATAACTATGTTGGGAGGATGGCGGGATAGGAGTGACACAGAGGGTATATCAAATAAATTTGATATATAAATTTTCATCTTTTATGCAGGGAAGTCAAGAGATAATGCCTGTAATGCTTAAATCAAGAATAAACAATAAACCATTCTATGAGCTAGAAAGATTAAAAAACCTAAAAGATCTGGCTATGACAGCAAAAGAAGATTCTCCCACCAAATGGGAAACAGAGGGAGGAGCAGTATGCTGTCGCTTTTCATAAAAAAGTCTTTAAGAACTGACTACTTAATCTATCTACTACCTAACCTGTCTATGTGTAAAACTGATTAATATAAACGCCTGAAAAAATAAACAAAATGTACCACATTCTCTCATGTCTAGGGAGCTTAACACATGCTGCTCCATTTGTCTAAAATACCCTTACCACTGTCTCTTCTAAACCACAGCACCTCAAAGCCAAAATGTCTGAAATCAAATTCACTCCTCTCCGTTCAAAAGCAACTTACCTGTTTTCCGGCCTTCCCAAGTTATGATTGGGAAAACTTTTATTTTAAATCAAGGAAAAAGAGTGAAAATATAAACTATATTTATGCAGAAAATCCCTGAACACCAGGGAAACTGCATGCACAGTACAATGGACTGCACAGATCATGAGTCTATCATCACTGGAAACTACTACATATAATGGAATAAATCTTTAAAAAGCAGAGAATATTTTTCAAATGTCCTCAAAAAAATGTCCAAATATACAAAATTTGTTTTAAAACTGTTTGGATCACACATGAAAAAAAGTAAAATGTGAAGTTTTCTGCTACGATTAACATAAATCACATAAAAATAATGAAAAACTTTTGAGAAGAACAACAACAACAAAAAAAACCACCTAAAAAACTCTCAAGACCCTGTTCTCCCATCTCCCTCCACAAAAAAACTCTGTAGAGAAGTCACTTACCTGAACAAGATGAATAAGTGTCGTCAAAATAGCGCATCTCAACATATTGTGTTCTTCGCTCTGCTTCCAAAGAAGGGGCAAATATTGCACCAAACATCCCACATACGGTCGTATCTATCGCAATAAAAGTAGGGGAAGCAACAGAATTATATTAGTAAAGAAGGTAACTTTGAAACACTGACAGAAGTCCCAGACAACAAATACTTAATATTCACTAGATGTAATATATTAAGCCTATATTCTTTTAAAAATAAATCCACATAGATACCACATAGATACCCATGGCCCTATGTAAATATTTTTAAATAATTTTAAACAAGTATGAAATTTATTGAATGAAATAAAATATATGAATATGAAACAATGTTCTTTGGAGATGAATAGACAATGCTGTTATATCCTGCTACTTTTTAAATAAAACAGCTTACCTGACTGGAAATTATACAATGTTTTAAAAAGAGTGAGCATTTATTCGTTCATTCTATAATTATCTGACTGAGACCCCGAGGACATGGCACTAGAAAGAAAAGTATGTAAAGACAGCCACACAAACCCTTACAATGAAAAATGATAAGTGTGATGACAAAGGTGTATACAAGGGATGATGGAAATGCAGGGGAAGAAAACCACCTTCAAAGGATAAAATTGTTAAGTCCACTATGGATTAAGTTAATCAGTTTTTAAAATTTGCCCTGAAGCATAGCACAGCTTGGCAGTGAGCATCTTGAAAAATAAAATGGAGCTACACAGAAGCTGGACAGCACTCTGGCTCTGGGCTTAGCATCACAGTCTTTGAAATTGCTCTGAGCAGAGTATCCTTAGGGATGAAACAAACACTAGACCTTCACAGCTTCAGTACTACCTATTTGAAGCTCATGGACCAAAATTAAAGACTGCTCCTAGAAAGGATGAATTTCTATATTCTGTAATACTTATAAAACATCATATTTCAAAAGGGTAGCCAAACAACTATAAGATTTGTTCCCCACCCTAGTGGTAGAAGTAGAAGCCGAAAGATAAGAAGATAAACATTTGCCCAAACATTTCAGTGAGACATAACTGAATAAATATTCAGAGACTCATGTATTACCTATTTTCATGTATTAACTTATTATATAATATCTTATTTTCAAAACTTGAATTATAATAGTTAATATTTATAGAGCACATACTCAATTTTGCTAAGTGTTCTACCTCAAAGATCACTACAATTAGCATGTAAAAGCAGGTCAATTAATATGTAAAGACACAGGTTTCAGAGTACCTAATTCACTCACACTCAATTAAAAACAGTATATAACTGAATGATGTACTGATAAGGAAAATAAGCCGGTTTTGATTCTGAATAAATAAGATTACTTTCCAAGGAATGGCAGAAGGGAAGTATATGCTATAAATTATACATGGGGTAATAAAACCAAAGTACATATTACATCCAAAAGCCATA